GATTGGTTAGATATCATGATATCTCTGATCTCCAGACACTTTGGAGACGAGAATAAGTGGCTTCCGCTAGCCCCGGCTTGTACAGGAGCGTACAATATGCCAATATATACTGGTATGTGGTGAAGTAAATTAGAACTTCAAAGCTCAGGAGCTAGACGATACACATCCAGCGTTGATGAATCCTACTTGGAATAAGAAATACGCCGTTGGGCTGACCCTTCGCAAGTTCGCCCCCTGAGCGGTCTTATATTGCACTCAAAAAGTCATTGACTACAATGAAACACGCAAGTAAGGCCTTCTGCACTACTCATCCGAGCAACCTCGGGTGACTTCTCGGCACCCGAGCCCCTTTACCCCGGCATCCCATTTTGTCCGACGATACACCCCACGTTCTAATCTCATCCCAAGAAAGAGTCTCACTACACCAACACCCGCGATGTGAACAGTGCCCATATCAACTAGTGTTCCATAAGTTTAGTTCTTTTCTTTGGTTTTCTCTAGGAATATCTCATATCTGCCCAGTTTCAACACATGTGTAACACCGACCTGTTGGACGCACTTCCTCCCCTCGAACATTCAAACACATGCGCTTTCAAAAGCTCTCTCTCAAGATTTATTTCGCTAAACTAATCAACCAAAAGGTAATATGGGATATGGTGTAACAACAGCTGACGCTTCTTCATCTTCAACAACGTTGGGCCTTCGTGGACATAAGAGCCCATCAACAACAGAGCCGGGCCGCAGACGACCCAGCTCCCCCCCTCCATTCTCTTTGACTCCCTAGTTCTGGGGAGCGAGGTGCCGCCTGGCAACGCGCGCACGGAATTCATCGCGCTTGTTGTTGGCGTTGTTGTTGTTGTTGTTGTTCTGGCGGCCGCCGCGGTTGCCCCCGTTGCCTCCGCCGTTGCCGCCCGTCGCGGCGTTGTTCGTGGCGCCGCCGGCGTTGGCACCGGCGTTCTTACCGGCCTTAGCGGCACCGCCTCCTTGAGTCGCGGCTCCGTTGTTGTTGTTGTTGTTGTTGTTGTTGTTGCCTCCCGTCGCGGCGTTGTTGTTCGCGTTACCGTTGCCGTTGCCGTTGTTGGCGTTGGCTCCGTTGTTCTTGCCGGCCTTGGCAGCGCCGCCGCCGCGGGTGGCACCGCCGTTGTTAGCGTTGTTGCCGTTGTTCTTCCTGTTGCCGCCGCCGTTGTTGTTGTTGTTGTTGTTGTTGTTGTTGTTGTTGTTATTGCCCGTGTTGCCGGTGTTGCCCCCGGCGGCGTTTCCGGCGGGACCGGCGGCGGTCTGGGTGGCGTTGTTGCCGAGGATCTCCTTGATGGCGGTGACGCCCTGCTCGTCCTGGGTCTTGGCCTCCTGGTTTGACTTGACGGCGGCGGGGAGGTCCTTGGCGTTCTGCTGGACCTGCGTGAGGACGTTCTCGAGGGTCTGCTTGGTGGCGATGTTCTGGGGGGTGTTTTGCTTGGGGGTGGTGTCGGTCTGCTGGACGGCGAAGCAGCCGCCGAAGGGGCCGGCGGCGGCGGCGTTGAAGCAGCGGACGGTGCAGACGTCTCCGGTGGAGGCTGGCGCGCGTTAGTATCTTTATGGTGTCACGGTGCAAGGCGAGTAACGACGTACCTCCTACACAGGCCATGTCCTGGGGCATGGTGACCTTGAGGTTGATGATGCCGTTCTGCGGCTGGCCCTCCTGGACCTGGAGCTTCGTCTGGCCGGTGGCGCCGTTGGCGTTGCTGGTCAGGTCCATGTCGCAGGTGTACGGTCCCGAGCCGTCCTGGTTGACCTGGGCGATCTGGACATCGACGGTGCTGCCCTTGGTGACCTGCGTGACGGTCTTTGCGATCAGCTGGTTCTCGGTGTTCTCGCCGATGTCGATGTTGCCGGCGAGGATGGTACGACCGCACTCGTTGACGGCGTTGTCGGTGATCTCCTTGGTGTTGATGATGTTCGCATCGGCCTTCTTCGTGTCGACTGTCGGGGGCTGTGTTAGCCCACTGTTCCCTGTTCCTCTTGTCCCCCCATTTCCCATCTTTTTCTTTCTTCTTCCATCACGACTTACCCTGAAGAGGCAGACTGGCGGCGCCCTTGCCCTGGGCCTTGAGGATAACACCCTGAGCCGAAGCCACCGCCAACAAGGCGGAGGTGACCAACGCCTTCATAGAGGTAGACATGGTTGAATTTGCTTTACGAAAAAAGAATCGAAAAAGAATAAAGACAAAAAAAGTTGAATTACAAGACAATTGTGTCCAGCACCGTTGAAGAGAACGAAAGAGGTATTGGGCCGAAGAGAAGTGTAAACAGACCGGCTGGGAATAATTCGACGAAAGGAAAGTGTGAGCGAGCGATCCAAACGGGAAGAGCACAGGGAGGCCTGCGTTTTACCCGAAGAGCGAGGCCTATAAAGTTTTATAACGGCGGTCGACATGGTTGCCCGTTGAGTTCCCTCTCTGACCCTCCCCTTTTTGGCGATGACAAGAGGAGGTGCTTCAAGGGTAGAGCTTGTTTCGACAGGGGGGAAGGGGGGGTGGTGGTGAGCATGGTTTTGCAAGTGAAGCCTGAAGGAGAGAAATGTGTAAGCGCTTTGGTGATGGACAAAGCTTCGGCCAGTCCCTGTCTCTTTCGCAGTTGGACCAGGTGGTAGACGATGGAGCGCCGTCAGGAACCGCTCTCCACAGCGCTCTCGTCCGGTCGAATTTCATACCATGGATGACGATGTAGGGGGGTGCTGCGGGAGTGGATTCGAGCCAGCATTGCCAGCCTCATACTGTTTCTCACCTGCAAGTATTTCCAGCCAAGATGCGCCAAAAGGACATCAAAAAGCAACCCCAAGCACAGATCCTCTCCGCAGCTCCGACGATCTTCTGGAACGGATGCCGTCGCGTGGGTGGAGATGGCGGTGGATACGGAGGCGTACGCGGGTGGAGGCGTGCACCCCCTTCAGCGGTGGTTTGGTGGTGGTGTCCAAGACCGAGTCTTCTCCGTGGGGGGGCCATCTACGCGACCACCACTCACACACACACTTCCAACCTTGCTCAGCGTGCCAGTGGCTGAAGACAGGCAAAAGCAGGGGATGTTTAGGCTCGAGGCGACAGGGCGGACAGGGCTTTCCCGTTCCCGCCGCAAGGTTGCGTTGGCTGTGGCCTCGCAGCCGGGGGGGACGAGGGACAATTCCCATACCGCAGTAGGGAAATGGGCAGATGTCGCTGGGAGTCCAGACGAAAACGGGGCTGCACCCGCGTTTCAGGCCCCTTTTGAGATGGACCATAACGGACTCGACTGGGCCTTGAGTCCAGGCAAAGGACTGCGGCTTCGCTGAAGAGCGCCGCCCAGTCGCAATGTCTCCCCAATGGCACCTACACCACCACACGTGCTGAAGGCGAGAGGGCGGGCGGCGGCGAACCTCCGATGGCAGCTTTTCCAGTACGGCCTGCCAAAAAGGTTCAGACGGGCCTCCCAGCGGGTCTGAGACGGATGCGTAACGCTCAGGAGTCCAACGGGCAAGCCTGGCAGGCGGCGTCGTTCTCTTCGCTTGCAGCTTCGCCCTCTTCGCGTATTTAGACCAGCGGAGCCTCCCTGAGGTCGGAACATGTTCGTTCCAGACCACTGCCCCATGATTGAGGCTGGATACGATGGATCTCGCTGGAAAAAAAAGTTGGTCGAGACCTGGTGATGTCGACCATGTTGTTTCCGTCCTGTTCCCACAGTGCTCCAGTCCCAACACAAGCTTCGCTGCCCTGCGCAGTACAGTGGATCGGGGAAGGCTATTGCTCGGAAGAGCCCCCTTCATTCACTCGGTAACGTCGTCTTTGAGACAAGCTTCGTGGATAAGGTCGACACTAAGGGGAATTAATAGATTGAGGGCGGGAGCTGCCATATTGGCTGCTGTGGGGGGTTGGAGATTGGTAACATGAGTTGGGCTGATGTGGGCGCCGCCGCTGGCTGGACGAGAAGGGAAAATTCAGGCGGGACAGCGCAGTACAGGCCCCCCTCCCTCGCATTTGTGGACGCTTCAGGGTTGCCCGGGCAAATGGAAACGCAGGGTCCAGCACCACCAAGCCTGCTGACTGCGGCACAACGGCGTCATCGCATGACGCTGAAACAACCATCTGGCCAGCGTTTGACCCATCAAAGATGCTGGTTGTATTTGTTAGTCAACTCTCTTGGCTTTTGAGTGCACGCTTAAATACCACGGCCCGACGCTCTTGGTGCCCTGAACGCGAGAGCGGGTGAGAGAGAGAGAGAAAGAGGGTGACGGAGAAGCACTTTGTGTGCCTGGCGAAGAAAGTCTGTTTCCTTCTTCTCCCTCCTTTCCTAAAGTAGCCCTACGCTGCGCGGGCTTCGGAGCGTCCTTTGGTAGACACATGCCGCCCCATATTAGCTGTCGTTCCTGCATCTCGGCTCCTGCTTGTGAGATTGACTACACGTGGATAGCATGCCCAGTGCTTTCACCAACAATGTTGACCATGAATACTATTGGCATCTGTTGGATCTCTCTAGCTCACCTGGTAATTATGATGTTGTTGCGACTCTCAGGCCATGTTGTTGGTCAAATGAAGATGTCTTCCGGTGTCAGCAGAAGAGTTTTGGGACTTCTTACCGTAGTACTCCAAGTCTGCCTCAACCGCAGATAAATGAGTTGTCACACTGGTGTAACTGGAAAAGAAGATGCTCCGAGACTGAGGCTGGTGATGATGCGGCACTTCCTGCGTTGCTATTCTCTGCTCACGCTGCCGCCCTCGTCGAACCGGGTTATCGCTGGACAGATTCAATGCGCCTGAGTGGGGTCATCGTGGCCATCTCACACGGACCAGAAACAATCAGTCGCCCACGATCACGATTCAGCAGGTGACTGAGAGTTGACAGGACGAACTCTAATGTTATGGGGCCAGGTCAGTCAGTAAGGTATACATACTTTGGCTCTCCCCGTGATTGACTCTCGGGGAAAGACGTTTGATTAGCGTTCTGAGATGGCGAATCTTCCAGGTGGTCGCAAACAGTTGGCTACCGCCTTCATGGTGGTGGCCCTCCGCGAGACGGGCGAGGTCATTGGCAACGGCGGGTTCAACTGCTTCGGAAACGACAACGGCACCTCTGTCGCGCAGCAGGACGGGGAGGATGGCGTCAGGGGGCGTCCGTATCTTACTGATACGGGCGTGGTGCTTGATCATCGGCACTGGGGGAAGGGGTACGGGCGGGAGACGTTGTGTGCGAAGGTCGAGTACGCGGTTGAGGAGCTTGGGTGCAGAGTTGTTCGCGTTGAGACGGCAGATGATAATAAGCCGTGGAGGGCGCTGATGGCGTCGTTGGGTTTGGCTGAGATTGAGACCAAGGGCCCGGTGAGTTATGATGAGAATGTGATTGGGTGGGTTTACAGGATTGATGCTCAACAGTGGAGAGCTGTCAGAGAGGATTTGAAGAAAAGGGGGAAGTGGCCGTTGTGAATTAGTCTTGGACTAGACAAAGCAAGACGACAAATATAAGTCCAGGATGACTTGAGGCTGAATGATGTAGTGAGAGAAGATCTTTGTATTCGCAACAAGAACCCCTACTATATATCCGTCAAACTCCAAGGCTCTAGACCGAGTTATCTCGCAAACCCATCGACTTCAAACCTCTCATATTCAGGTAACGTGAAACCATCCGTATCCTCTACATTAGTATTCTGTATAAACTTCTTCTGAACCCATGGATTCGCCACGACCCTCGCTACACCCGCCACGCACGTCTGGAACAGCCATCTCTTCCACGCCACATCAGGATGCACAACCCCTGGGAAGAAGAACGGGATATGCTGCGTCTCTTCAACATAATCCCTAAACTTCCCCTCAAACTCCTCCAGAGCCTTCCTGGGATGCTCCCCCTCCCCAAGCTTGCTCAGCTCGCCCGCGAGCACATACGCCCCCTGGATCGCTAACGACGTGCCCATCCCCGTCAACGGCGTCGGCGCCCACGCCGCATCACCAAGACAGACAGCCCTGCCGTTGGACCACCTCTTCATCTTGATCTGCTGGAGCGCTTGGAAATAATAGTCCTCCGAGTCCCCCATCGCCTCCAGGATCCGCGGCGCCTGCCACCCCGCGTCCGCAAACTCCCGCCTGACAAGTTCCTGCTGCGTCTTCCTGTCGCTCCGGGCCGCCTCCTGCCACAACCGCCGCTGCGCGTCGTCGAGAGGCATCCGCGTGAACATGGCCCGGATAGTGCCGTGCGGATCGGGGCGCAGCGAGACACACCGCGACCCGAGGCCGACGAACACGTTCCACCAGTCGTCGTCGCTGGCCACGCGCGGGATCGTCGAGTACACCACGTACATGTCCTTGTCGACCACAGCCACCTCCTCCTCCGGGAAGCACTGCCGCCGCACCTTGGACCACTGCCCGTCCGCCGCGACCAGCAGATCATACTCCTTTATCTCGCCGCCGCTCAGCTCCACCTGCACGCAGTCGTCACCGTTCTCAACAACCCGCTCGGAAGTCACCCCGAAGCGGTACTCCACGTTCGGGTGCGCCTTGGTCGCCTCGTACAGGAACCACGACAGATCGCCGCGCAGGACCTCGAACTCGGACGTCGGGTTGAACCCGTCGCCGGGGTGGACGGGGAAGGGTGCGAAGGGGCGGCCGCGCGGGTCGATCAGCTTCGTGCCCTGCTCCGTCGTGTTCCAGCGCTTGAGCTCGCCTATGAGACCCATCTTGCGGATGACGCTGATGGCGCCGTAGTTGACGTCGACGTTGTGGCCTTGGCGGAGGAGGGCGGCGCTCTTTTCGAGGACGGTGACGCGCGCGCCGGTGCGGGCGAGGAACCAGGCCAGTGTTGGGCCGGCGATGCCTGCGCCGCTGATGAGGACGCGCATGGTTGGCTGTGTGGGTGGGAGGCTGTCCATGCGAAGATGTGTTTTGGGGGTTGTGGATGGTGTTTGCGAGAGCTGGATCTTGGCGGGTGATGAACGTATTAATAGTTGTGATGTTTCTTAGTCCGCTTTGGTACTAAGAAGTGTTGTCTCTAGCCTGCCGAAGCGCATTCCGTGGCGCACCAATCATCGCGGAGAATGTAGGAGAGGAGTTTTGGTGTTGATCTGATCCTTTGTGCACGATTCTCATGCTGTGGCTGATCCTGCGCCCGCTGTCTCAGTCAACACCAGTGTCCCCGTCTTCTTACTCTTCGTTCATGATGTACATTCTGTCTTCTCAAAATGAATTCTTGAGTACGGTGGTTGTTTCTCAAAAGCAGAAGCTCTTGTCAACGTCACTCACACAGTGTCAAGATGTCACTATCTCATTTGGTACATCATTATTGTGCGAGCGAGACGTTGAATTCTGTGGTCAATCACCATGTGATCCAGGGGTTGAAGTCAGCGCTGCAGCGGCTAGTCCCGGTGCGGTGTGAGCCCATCCGTCCGAGATCCGTAGTCCGACCGACCTCCCTGCTCCGGGGCGATCCCGGATTTTCGAGCCGTCGTTGCACCGATAGATTACTCGGAACCGAGAAATTGATAAGTTTTCCCCACGCGCCAAGCCGGGCGCCAGGGGGAGCTTTTGGTGCGCAGCCCTACGCGTGGATCGGCTAAGCGGCAACGTGTGCTCACACTAGATTATATACTAGCGCGCCGCTGGTATGGGACTGTGGAAGTCGTTGACGTCGTTGATGCAGATAGAAGAAAGATAAACCATTTCTAGCCATGATGAAGGGCTGAAGATCGAGATTGCCCTCCATCGAGGAGAAAGTCGGTGAGAGCTTGAGGATACGAAACCAAATGATGCAGAAATGTTTTTTTAGAACTATAAACTAGGTAGACATACGATGCCAAAGACCTATCATCCCCCAGTCGCAAATTCGTAGAGAGTTCAAAGATCAGCAACACAAGCTCTACGGAAGACGAAAACAACCCCACAGTTGACTATTCAGGACTATCTAGCAACTGCTATGGACAAAAAAAAGCAGAGCCCAAGTAAAGTAAAGTAAAGTAAAGTACATGGCTCTGTTGTCATGGCAACATCTGTTTGGAAAGATTCTTGCCAAGGAGCATTTCGGATTCAAATTTCGGAACAACAACTATGATTCACCGTAGACATGCGCATTTTCATCTCAGATCACACCTGAATCCAAAATTCCCAGCCGGTCAACAATGAGAGTGCTTTAATTCTGCGCCAACTTGTTGCCACACACTGCACTCTGAGAGCGCGGCCCTATCTCCAAACCCAGATGACTATCTATTGAATGACGTGCTTTAAGATTCTGAGTTCTTGTTTGCCTGGGTTCGGTCAATATATAGTTTTAGGGCGTTTCCTAAAGTCTGAGGCGATCGGAAGGTTCCACGTCAACCCACAACGGCCTATCAACAAATGTTAACCAGGCACTATCTTAGTCACGTTCCCAGTCGCAACATCTCATTCATCACATTTTGGAGCACTGACTCTAGAGGTGGATGAGTTTATTGAGTTCCGAGTGTTTACGCGTACTCTAGCCAAACCGGAGCTGATCAACACTATTTCTCCACCCTTTCATTTACCGGTCTATCCTCCGGAGCCAATCCCCCAGCTAAACGACGTCCCACATCTAGCAACGTTGGTTGTCAAACGACCGGTCAGCATGCTATTAAGTGCATCTAGCAGCTCTTCCAGATGCACTGAGGGCAGTTGGAGTAGCAGAATCCACCACATCCCTTGCGACCATCAGGGCAGGTGCAGCAAGTGCCGCGCGACTCGAGGCCACCGGCGCCACCTTCGCCAACGTCAACAGAGGTATCGATTCCCTTGGGAGATGCCATGGAGACACCGGCGAAGAGAGTGATAGCGGCGAGAACGGCGGAGACCTTCATTATGGGCTTTGAGGGTTGGTTAACTTGTGAGAGCGGCGTCACTCGGATAAACAGGATTCTTACATTTGAAGTAGCGTCTTTGGCGAATGAAGAGAGGCTGAGGTGGATTTGGAGAGTCTGAGGAGTTGATGTCAGCGTTTGGGGACTGGTTGGTGAAATGGATGAGATGTACCTTGATAGTCAAGTTGCAAATGTAAGACAAGAGGCTTGATGATGAGAAGAGTCCTATCGTCAACGGCGACGTTTGGCTCTTTAATAGTTTTTTTGTCGTAGACTCTCTCGGCGTCTTGAGCAGAGTCCTCGGCAACTTCACGGGAAACCAATCTATCTGCGCCACTCAATGCCTCAACTCTACATCGATGTGGGAGAGTATCACGAGTCGTGGATCATGGCTTTGGTTGTCCTTCTGCTTGACTATAGTGGAGGCGAGAGTTGAGACTCTTGTGGGGAAGTAGAAGATAGTACAAACTTTGCATAGGCAAGGCTTCGACTTGTGGATTCAAAGTGGGGGATAGAACGACTTACCCCCATGCCAAAGTTCTCAACATTTCCGCGGACACGGTACGCTAGCACAGGGGTCAATTTTACTTTCGACCAAAAGACGAACACGACCCTTTGCCGGGTATTTTTGAAAAAGCATGCTCAAGACTTGATTTTTGCATCTCCGGCGCGGTGTCGCGGGTACAGTCAAACGACGAAGACGTCAGCTCCTGAGATGCAACTTTCGTCGTGCCATGTACAGCATCAGGAGTGCCGGCACGGCAAGCCCGTGACGCCAGACTTCTCGTATACAGCCATCCCCTGTGCTTTTTCGTATATTGCCGGTCAGCAGTAGAAAGCCGGGGCACCTGTCGACCCGAACGGCAGTTCTGAACACCTCATCTGCTTTCATATTGCGGGCACTTGCGATCGAATTTCCTAGGTCGGTCAATTTAAGAAATCGCAGACGTGTACTACACACGTCATCATTCAGCCTGAAGGCAGTCTTAATAAGTTTTTCGGCATCATCAACTGGAGACTCGTGTTTTAAGGTTCACATACTGCACGTCTTCTGCCTTACTCCAAGCAGCATCTTCCTGATTGTCACCACCAAAACCGCCGTCACCGCCGACAACACATTTTCGGCAGGATTCGTACTCCTGAGTTACGGCGCCCAGCGACCAATTGCCGACCTGAAGTTGAACGGAAAGGAGCCGAATTGATTAGGTCCGACAACAATGAGGTCCTCGACAGCTTACAGCGCCTTGCCGGAGGAGGAGCAGCAAGCGGACAACGAAATTGATGCAAGCTGTCAAGCCATCTACGTAACCCGTCTAGAAGCAAGACTAGCCCGCTTGAAAATAACTCTGTGGCTCTTGGTCTTCACTCTAGTTGCGGTAATTGTCTTTGAGGCCATTCACTTGCAACAGGACATTCATCGCCATGGGCGACGGCCGGGTGCTCTCGACAAATCACCGACAGCCTCAGAAGCACGACTGCCAAAATGCAAGTCTCTCCACTCCCTTCCAACAAGAAACGGTACAACTACAAGTGCTTACCCGTTACTACAGGGCCTCTGATCGCCACGACGTTCGCCCGCGATGCTGCCTTTGATGGGCCGCCTTCAGAGAAGAGCGCCGAAGCTTGGAATAGCCTGATACCTGGTATGTATGCTCCTAATATCTTGGGCCTATATGCAGGTCCAACTGAGAAGGAAAGACTGACAAGAAGACAACTGATTGCAGTCGGCCGCGGCTTTGTCAAGCCAAACGATTCCGGAATATCTGCCTTCCACCAGCTCCATTGCCTGGTAATCTCCAATTCTTACATACGCTTAGTACAAACAGAGTTCTAACGTGCTGCAGTACATGATCAGAGAAGGCTATTACGCCCTGGCCGTAAACGGGACCCTCATGGGAGACGACGCGACACCAGAAAGCCGCGCGTGGAACCACACACAGGACGGCCATCTAGACCATTGCTTCGACTACTTACGCCAGTCTCTGATGTGCTTCGCGGACCCTACCTTGGAAGAGTCGCCCGTAGAAAAAGAGCCAGGATGGAATGTGACACATGCATGCAATGATTGGGACAGGTTGTTTGACTGGGCAAAGACAAACCGTTACGATGACGCCGTTGGTATTGATACAGGAGTCTAGGCGAGAGTTTAGAATACATACACAAGAATTTTAGACATTTGTGTGGAGAATTTGGATGCAACCTTGCAGAGTTTGATCGAGAAGTCGTCGGTTTTGGAGGCACCGCCGTAGCGGCTGCTCCACGTCCAGTAGCGGTCTCCTTATCAGAGAGGTTGAAGTAGTGGTCAGTGTTCAGAGTAGAAGTCGAAGACACGAAAGGGAACAACTTAGGCTTGCCCTAGTTGGAGAGCTTCATGATGTAAATGGTGGACAAAATTTGGGGACTCACTTGATGGTCCTGGCTTTGAGACCGGGAATCAGAATCGAACATTGTGTGGCAATAGCATTCTCAGCTTCGACAGGGCCTCTCCGCTTTAATATTATTGGAGGATGAATCAATTCATGGGTTTCAAATCTTTTGCACTCTCTATCATACACACTGTCTCTGTTGCCCTGCTAAAATCCACGAAAGCTTTGAACATTGCGACCTGCAGTGCTCGAGGTACAAGATTGCTGAGGTGCCCCGCCCATCCGCAAATTTTGCTTCTTCCGCGTTCAGAGAAGCTGATGCCTTCCTCGTAGGGTAAATCGACTTCATATGGGATGACCTTGAATTCTACTTCAGCTGCCTCAAAGACTTTCGTCAAGTGACTTGACGCATTGCCAGCATCAAATTCGAAGATTGGGGATTTGACAGCCACCTTGCGAAGATTGGGAACCCTGTCTGCCAGGAGGGATGATCGTAGGCGAAGGAGCATCTCGGCAAACGGCTCGGCAACGGCATCAGTATTGTCTTGGGAGTGGAGAACATAGTCGTCCGGTGCCCGTACTTCATAACGCATGCGATATAGAAATCTCGGGTCTCTGTACCACATGTCGTAGATCGTCAGGTTCTCAATATTCGGAGGGAGGCGACCGGAGACGTCTGCCAAAGCCATGTCTTCCAGACTCGTGAACAGACAAGGGACGTCTGCTTGCAAATTGACCAAGTTGTGCATCTTGGAAAGCCAGGAACATTCTGGTTCGTCTTCGAAGAAGAGCAAACGATTGCCCTTTGTCCGCAAGGTGAGAGTGCCGAGTTGTGGACATGACGTCATGATTGCTGTCGAAATGCGAGCTGTTTCCGTTCCATAGCTGATTCCACGCTCGTCATGAGGGTTTGGGCAATCCATCACTATCTCGAGCTTCTTGAGGTCAGGACAACGCTCTAACAGGGAGCATAAAGCGGAGCCAGTCTTGGTCTCCTGGTAGAGAGAGAGTTCCTGGAGAGCCAGAGGCGCAGCCCGGCCAGTTTCGCTGAGTGATGCCCACTGACTGGAGTCAGAGTAGGAAGTGAATGATGTAAGGGTCGGCAATGCGAGCAATCCGGGTACAGGGAACCTGGAAAACCTGGTGAGGATAGGCGGCCATTCAAAGAAACGGTAGACATTTCCGTGGATCTCCAACCGTTGCAAGCGAGTGAGGACTTTGTGCTTGAAGTTCTCGGTTCGGTCGGGACTGCCAGCGTCGTTGCCACCGTAAGTAGAATGGAAAGCTGGGATGAAGCGATCGATACCACTGGGGCTTTGGCGATTGATTCGGGGAGGAGAATAGAGGTCCGCACGTCTCTCGTCGACAGGATGAGTGCGATCGCGGTCATCGAACCCTATCGTCAGATGCTCAAGCTGGGTAGTCAAAGACAACATGAGGCCAGCGAAAATCTCGAAAGATTCCTCAACATCATCTTCAGTGAATGCGCCGGTCTGCTGCTCCTTAACACCGCAGTGCTCGAGAGCGCCGAGGAGGGGTGTGGGTATCTTGTTGAGGTCGATCTTCTCGTAGATGGTGTGAACGCCATCGTAGGCCTCTCTCTCACGATTAAGAGCAAACCCGAGACAAAGACCTCTAACGTGGGTACAGAATCGGGGTTCCTCGATGAATGATCGCAAGAGTAATCCCATTTGCTTGCCCTTGGTCAAGTATATGTCGGAGAACAGCTGTCTCTGGCTGGGGTGTCGAAGGGCTCGACAGGTACGGGAGAGTGCCATGATAGCCAGCCTGGTGGTGCTCCGGAAGAAAGCAATGGACTTTGGTTTCGCAGGTTGAATATTGAAAGTCGGCAATCTGGGGTCGGGGGGGAGTGCTCTCAGAATCTCCAAGATGATTTCGCCGGGGAGGCCGAGGAGGAAAGGTCGCGATGATTGATCAACGGTGCTGTCGGAAGTCCCCATGTTTGAAAGAGTGCTGCAAGCCGGCTTTTCGACCTGAGTGATGCGGTGGTCCATAGCCTTTCTTGTTGAGGAGTCGCTGTCGGGGATGTCGGTGTGTGAGGAACCACCGCGGTGGACATGGTCGTTCGGGGTGTCATCACTGTGGGCATCATTGCTGCCGATGTCACCGGGAGGCGCTTGCGGTGATGTGGGGGATTTCACCATCTTGATGAAGGGTATTCGGTACTCGCACCTTGCCGTGGTTCGCGTCTGAGGAAGTATGGACTATGTGGTGTGGTTGAAAGCGAGAGAAGGGAAAAGGAAAGTACGGGTGGACGGTAGCTCGCGTAATAATGGCACCTCTCGCTCTCCTCAATGGAAGGGGTAAACAATTCTGCTTCTCCCAGCCCCAAGAGCACCAAACGCCATCAAAAGCAAGAGCAAACAGCGTCTAAGTAGGAAGGAAGGACGGGTAACCGCTGTGCCTACCCCCGATTGCGCCTTCCTAACTCCAAAGTCTGCGCTGGGCGCGGGCGAAATTCCGATAAACAATTCATCGTTGCTCTAATCACTGAAGTCTCAATAGTAGATAGCACCTTCTCATCTTCTTGGTCGTGCACACAATGAGGTGGTGATGATGTCTGCACCACCTCACACTGCTTGTCCCCTCCTAGAACCCCACCATTTGGGGCGCCACACTGCAAAGGATGTGGCTGGTCGCGGCTGCTGCACGGGCCTGGGGCGGTGCTTGATGGCTGTTGCCCCGACAACACGCCACAGAAGCCCCCTGACTCCTTCTGTTATCGTTATCGGGATCAACATCACAACACTAAACATCCATTTCAATCCCTCCTCCTCCACTGCCGAAAACAATCTCCCGACTGCAACTCCTCAGCACCCAACTAATCCGGAGACTCGCGGGCCACCTGCCGCGACGATACTAACCATGGCAGCCTCCGACGATCTCATCAACTTCGACATCATCGAAGCGCAAAAAGAAAACATTCAAGCGCTGCCGAGCGGACGCTCCGCCAAGAAGTTGGCCGAGCTGTTCTCCCCTTCCCCTCTGCACAAGCTCGACACCCCTACGCCGTCAGACACCCAGAACGTGAATGACTGCATCCGTGCCGAGTACGAGGCAGAGATTGAGAACATCTCCGAGTCAGACGATCCCCTCGATATCTTTGACCGCTACGTCCGTTGGACCCTCGACGCATACCCCTCCGCGCAAGCCACACCGGCGTCGCAGCTACACACAATCCTCGAGCGCGCCACCAAAGCCTTCGTCAACTCAGCACAGTACAAGAACGACCCTAGGTATCTCAAGCTCTGGGTTCTTTACATTCAGTTCTTCAGCGACTCGCCCCGCGAAACGTTCCTGTTCCTCTCGCGACACAACATTGGCGAGACACTGGCCTTATTCTACGAAGAATACGCTGCCTGGCTGGAGGGAGCGGGCAGATGGAACCAAGCTGAGGAGGTCTACAAGCTGGGCATTGAGCGCGAAGCAAGACCAGTCCAGCGCTTGATGCGCAAGTTCAAGGAGTTCGAGGAGAGACTCGCCCAACAGCCAGAGGAAGCCGTCAGACCCTCCTCGCCAGCACTGCCCACCATGCGACCGGCTCTGGCCGCCAAGATCGACCCATTCGCTGCTGCCCGCGCAGCTGCTGCAGACCCCCAGGCACCCCGCCCGAACCAGGGCGTCGGCGGCCCTGCCTCCAAGCCTGGCAAGGCCAAGATGGCCATCTTCTCAGACGCTGATGCCGCCCCTCCGGCACTGTCTGCGCGTGAATCTGGATCCAAGGGCTGGGATTCCATCGGCTCGTTGGCCGACCGCAAGAAGGAGAACGTGATGGAGCCCAAGCCGTGGGCGGGCGAGACGTTGAAGGCGGGTGGAAAGAAGAGCACTGCTCCCAAGATGGCGATTTTCAGGGATACGGTATGTCCTACGTTCACTTTTACCTCCCAATGCCCAGATGTTGATGATTATAGGACTAATGGGTGGCTTTGGCGTTTTTTGTATTTCAGTCTAAGTTGCAGCCGAGAGCGCAACCTCAATCACGATCACAATCACGAGCACAGATGTCAAAGTCTCATATCACTCTTGTGCCTGCCAAGAATCAGATAGTAGTGAATCCTGTTAGTGGCAAGAAGGAGCGCATCTTCATCAACTTGGAGGCTGTCTACCCTACTCCAGAGGAGCCTGGCTCTGAGCTGGCTTTTGAGGAGATTTGGGCAATGAACAGAGGCTGGTTGGGCCGTAACTGGGATGAAGAGCCTCTGGATGAGAGCGCCATTCCTGAAATGATGAGTGCCGAGACTTCAGCAGTTGATAACCTAGGTCACATGATGCAGGAGAAGTTGGCAGTCCACACGGAGTCTGTGATGATGGACGAGAACGGCGCCATCATCAAGCCAAAGGGGAAGAGCAAGAAGAAGAAGGTGATGGAGGTTAATGAAACACAAATTAGTGAGTCGGCTTTGAGACATGAACTGTACCTGATTGCTAACGCCTCATCAGTCAAGGCGAACCTGGACTCACCCTCCAGGCCGAAGCTCAAGAAGAGGAACACCTCTGAACCAACAATGACCATCCATACCAGGGCTGCGACAGACGAGATTTACGAGATCTTCAACCAGCCCATTCAGTCTGCGCCCCAGGAAGAAGAGGAGGAAGAGGAAAACGAGAGCGATGACGACTACGAAACAGACGGCGATTACACCGAAGCAGAAAGCACCATTACCACCCGCCAAGTCGATATGGACGACGACGGAGAGGAAGATGACGACGCTTCGGATGCGAAGAGTATCAGTGAATGGTCTGACTTCTCGACGCGGAAGCATGTGCCAGGCCTTAATGGCGACATCACAGAGGCTGGCGGAGACAACACGCAAGTCTCCGATCTCATGGACCCCAACTATGTCGAGCCGTCTGAAGCCTTGGCCGATGATCACACGAGTTCTCGTGAGGCAGGAGAGTCGGACGCTGAGGAAGAAGAGGAAGACGATGAAGACTATCCGCCCAGGACGAAGACTATGTTCGTCCCGATACCGCCCGAGGATTACGAGCCAAGGACACGACCGTTTAGAGATGCGGCGGAGGTGGCTAACAATCGACTTCCCTTCATGACCCCCATTACTGAGAGAACAGAGTCTTCGCTGGCGTTCACCGAGCGCAAAGCAAGATATGAGACTCCTAGTCGAGACGATGCCGCCTCGACCATCGACGAAGAGGAGGACGATGACATGCAAGACCCTCCCAGCAGTCCCTTGCAAGAAGTGAGCACTTTCAGCCCCGTCAAGATCCCACAGCCTCTTCTTGGAAAGCCAAAGACCTCCGCGAAACCGGTGCCTCAGAAGGGCCCCATCATCAAGGAGCTCCAATGCAACCCCGTCGACGACGCAGTCAGAAACGAGATTCTTGAGAACATGCAGCCTCCTCTGAGCTCATACCCTGGGTTTTATGACCACCGCAATGAGAAGTACGAGAAGGGCAACGACATCCGCAAATTTGCCAAGGCCATGGCCAAGGCAGCCAGGGGAGAGCGTATGAGCAATGCCTGCGCCTTAGTCACTATTGATTTCCCAGACGTCTCAACCCAGTACACCATTAGGAAGGAACTGGGTGCAGGCGCATTCGCCCCTGTTTACCTCGTTGAAAACTCCTCTGCCGAAGAAGAAGACGAAGACGGCGTCGTCGCCATGGGCAAGGGAGCATTCGCCGTCAACCACCGCACCGCCTTGGAGGCGCTCAAGATGGAACTTCCCCCGTCACCTTGGGAATTCCACATGATGCGCCTCGCTCACACCCGCCTCGGTCCCCAGCACCGGGCAGCCGCCTCCCTCTCATACGCCCACGAATTCCATCTTTACCAGGATGAGGGGTTCCTATTCCTTCCCTTCCACCCTCACGGCAGCCTCCTCGATGTTGTGAACTTCTTCCGTGCGGAGCCATCAGCCGTTATGGACGAGCAGCTCGCCATGTTCTTCACCATCGAACTCTTCCGCACTGTTGAGGCGCTCCACGCTCGCGGCGTCCTCCACGGTGACCTCAAAGCCGACAACTGCCTGCTCCGCCTCGACGGCACCAGCACCAACAGCACACTCGACACCCAGTACCATGCTGACGGCACTGGCGGTTGGGACGCTCGCGGTGTGACCCTCATCGACTTCGGCCGCGGCATCGACATGCGCAACTTCGAGCCCGATGTCGGCTTCATTGCTGACTGGAAGACTAGCGCCCAGGACTGTGCAGAGATGCGCGAGGGCCGGCCCTGGACGTGGCAGATCGACTACCACGGCCTCGCTGGCATTGTCCACTGCCTCCTCTTTGGAAAGTACATTGATGCCGTCCGCTACGATCAAGGTGGCATCGGCTCTGGGCGCAAGTACCGCGTGCGCGAGAGTCTCAAGAGGTACTGGCAGACGGAAATTTGGGGCGAGTGTTTCGACGTCCTGTTGAACCCCGGGTCCTTCGTTGCCACGGAGGAGAACGCAAAGATGCCGGTGTTGAAGAGCATGCGTGGTGTCAGGGAGAAGATGGAGGCCTGGCTCGAGGGTAACTGTGAGAGAGGTGTCGGGCTGAAGAGTCTTGTAGGCAAAGTTGAGGCCTTCGCCAAGGGGCGGCGATGAGTTTAGTCATGATGTTTGATGATGGGCTTGCTGGCGTTTCTTAGAGGGATGGAGAGGATTGTATATTGTCGTTTTTGAACTATACCACTGTGCGCTTTGTTTTCTTATGGCATTAATATTATTTATTCGATATGCAATGCATTTACTGGTAAACCAGACTGGCTTCGAAGCGTCACGTTAGGGTGTGGTAGTACGCGTGTCCCATATGCGACAACAGCAGCGTGGGGAAGGATCAGAGGCCTATGGCGTATGCTGGGAGATGGGTGAAGTACTTAAACGCCCGTCACTGAGAGAAGACGGCAGGCCCCGGGCAAATGTGGCGCGGACCAGAGCTCGTTGTCGTCTCTCAAGCCCTGCTTTGTGGGTTTTCTCAACTCCTACCAGTGCTCCGCCGCAAGCATGTTTATTGCGACTTAAAATCATGTACACTTTTCTGAGCTGGAAATACATCAGAGTAGGGGCATGATGGACGATGAGAACCAAGGGCGATACGTCTTCCTGGGTGAAAATACTGTTGATGGGTTCGAGTGACAAGCGCCAATTCTCAAGCTTTGAGCCACTGGGCACTAGTCACATGGAGAAGTCAGCGATTACCCCATTTTCATTTCTTTCCGCGAACAATGGTCAGAAATCTCTGTAATCTGTGTGTTTTTATACTTGACAGTTTGCGTGTTGAGATGAGAGTTTCAATATAGTTAATTGATCAATACGTCCATATAAATCTATAGATTGGCGGTGGGTTCGTGGAGATAGCGAGGACCGCGATCCGTCAGAATCAATGCAATTTGTCTGATGAAGGTTGGAGCTACGGGAATCCCAAGACTCAACCATCAAGACCATGTAGATTATGTCGCATGACTGGAGGATCGGGCTTGACGTAGACGCTTGGGCTCAATCGAATTCCGAATACTTGGGTGACCGTGACGGATAGCCGTGATAACAAATGGCAAAAGTACCGTTTGGCTTGAGCCCTCGATTTCTGACTGCGTATCTTATCGTGAATATCTTCTTATGCTCTGGGAAATACGTTAAGGCGATGTGCTTGATGTTACTGTGTACGCTTTGGTCCGACTTTTCCATCGTCCCGGCTCGCCCGATTGTGCGGTGGAAGATATGATGTGTCTGCAGTCAAATCCATTTTGTAGACATTCGCTCTTGTGAAGTTCTCACGTCACTCATACGCCTGAAGAACTTAACGTCGGAATACTTCTATACATCAATTTCACGTGTTGTCCGGGTTATTGTTCTCTCTACAATCAGGGCTAAGAGAAAACAGGTCAACTTTGGTAAACTGACACTCAGCAGTTTCTCCAGCTGTTTGACATGTCTTGGGGAAAGTCCTGATAGAAGGGGGAATCCGTTTAAAATCGTCCGCTTCCGTCAGGCGAATACGTACATGACTACACTCAACAAAACAGTGAGGGCCAGAGCCATGAAGAACGGGATGCAGGATAACTGTCATCCTTCCTTTACTGATTCTGAACTTCCCTTGCTTTTCGCACCTTATACAACACATCATACGATCATGCAGCATAGAGATCTTATTTCTGCTTTCTCTTCGGAATGACTGCGAAGGCAAGCGAGCCTCCTGTGATTTAACAGTGCCTCCAGACCTGGGACTTATTACACGTCGCGCGTTTTTCGAGTTCCTTTACTCATCTTACGCGAAATATAGGCGGCTTTCATGTTTAGTCAATAATGCTGAGGGGCCATTATTGAGACTCAACGTCCATTCCCTCTGTAATGGAAGATTTCAATGAAAATATAGCCTTTTGCAAAATACAAAGTGGTCGAACATGTAATGACAGATTGAAGCCCCATTTCACAATTCTATCGAGCTGAGTACATCAGCAAATTCAAGCCCTCCACGCGTCAACTCACTGTCCATCAATGAGGATCATGGATGTCACAGAAATCGTGATTACATAGCCAAGTATAATTTCTTGGCGAGATAACATCATTGAAACTCATGACGTCGGAAATCGTTTACGGCTGGACTACGTGTGCCATACTCTGAACAAGAATAGATCAGGCTGCGTCCACGCATGTCATGATTGGAAGGAAAGTTGCGTGACGGCAAATGCAATCTGCAGCTAGTGCAGCAGGCTGTAGGCATTCTTCGGAGCGCACCGTTTGTAACGTGGGATTGAGGCTGATAACAAATGTTTTGGGTCCATGTGAGAGGTTCAGGGTAGATTCTGCTGATAAGCGACGCAGCACGTCGGTGGCGAAGCCCAGCGCCCAGCCTGCTGCAGCCGACGTGACAACTCGCTTTGCACATATGCACAATTTCTCCCAAGAAGATCTTTGCACACTTCGCCCAGTCATTCCCCAGGCTTTCATGTATATGATCAGTCCGTGGGTTGGGATGGGCAAGCAGGTGTCTATCAGATAACGTGGGCTCCCTCAAAAAGCTCCTACATCCATCCCGTTCTCTCAGAATTGCACCTGATCCAGAGTCTTGTTGAATTCCACAAAAGGACGCCCGTGGCTCTTCATCTTTACGCCTCGCTCATCAACTACTCCGGCTCTGCGTTATGATTACACGTCCAACTCCCCCAACTTGATACAAAGCGGTACGCGGAGCGGCTTAGGAAGACCTCGGTGCGACCCAAGATCATCTTCTGCGCACTGTGCGAAAGATTACTCTTCTTTACAAAGTAGAACTTCGGCTCGCCACACATAATATGCAACAACTCCGTCCACCAAATGGCCCCGGGGCTTCTCTCGACCGAGATAGCGACGCTGACGGGAGCCGTCCTCAAAGCAGCCTGCTTCCCGCGACCGAGGGGCGCTTTCGAAAAAAGCAACAAAATTTTTGGCTCCGGAGATCCGTCTCGATGGCCTTCTCTTTCTTATTCATAGCCTGCGCTCTGACATTGATTGGCGTCTCTCGATACATAACAGCACAAAATGGCCTCCCACTTTCACTGTCGTCGAGCAGCTACTCTTGGACTTACGGCCCAACAGGAGTGCTCGTTCTTATCCTTGCACTTTGGCGGCAAGTCGACCACAACTGCAGATCCATGCAACCATGGTGGGAAATGGCCCATGGGCCCTCGACAGCTGCTCGGTCGGTTCTTCTCGACTACGTTTCTCCATTTCAACCAATAGCCTGCTTCAGCGCTCTGAGGAACGGCCACTACGCTGTTTTTATATCGATCTTGAGCTTTTTAGTCCTTAAGCTGATCATCCTCCTTTCCACAACATTATTCGTCGTCGAACCGACGTGGCATTCAGAACCAGTATCCTTTCGTTACCAGAACACGTTCAACACTGAACACATGTGGAACTCACCAGGAGACACCTTGACTGGAAAATGGGGAGACATCCGGGATCATTCTAGGCAAGGTGACTTGACTGTATGGTCATACATGGCAACGCTGAATAATGCCACGGCAGGGAGCCTGAGTGGTACAAAATCCGGGAACATGGCATATCAGTCATTGATCCCACCACAGTTCTCGTCAAACATCTCATCTGTCTCAACTGTCGTCGATGTATTCGTACCAAGCGTCACTTGCGAGGAGGCGTCTCTCTCGCTTCCAACAACCACCTTTGGCCAAAGCGAATTCGAATTGTACTACAAATTCGATTCGCCATCCTGCTCATCCAGCGACTTGCAATTGGAAGACGGATTTCTTATTTGCGGGAGCTCTTGTAGGAACTCAGAACGACCCCCCTCAATTCACTGGGTGGATTGCGCAGCCCATGATGGCCGTGACGGCAAGCGTTCGTCGGCGTCATCTGAACCTGACATTCGTTACGCAATCTCACTAGCAGACCTCTCCACCGCTTTTACGTACAATACATATGATCATGTCAGCATTCAAAGGGCATCAGCAACTATGTGCAAGGTTGGCTATGGTATGGTCTCGGCGAACGCAACATGGGATGCCTTGAGCGGCCAGGTCACTCTCAACGAGGATCCCGTGCTTTTCGACTCCTCGAGGCACTTACCCAACATGACAGATCACGACCTTGCAGAGATATTACTCGCAAATCTCCATGTTTCCTCTGCTACATTACTAGTAGATCCGATGATCTCCTCAGGGTCCTTATACGCCTTTGCGTTTTTTCAATTACTAGCGGCCCAACTTAAATTGATGGAGGAAGATACGGACGCTCTTTTTCAGCCCTCGATCCTAAGGAATTTGTCCACGGCTGTCTTCAAAGGCATATCAGTCGAGTTCGCAAAGCAGGCATTACTTATTGAGGATCCTAACGAAGACTCTTTTGAAGCTACCGCACACGTTAGCGAAAACCGATTACACCTTCGACATTACACGCTCTGGCCAATAGTCTCCGGTTTCTTTCTTCTTTCAATATTATGCGGGATTCTGTCTTTACTCATCCCCAGTAAAGGAAACCAGCGTCACATTTCGGGGTCCATCGCGACTCATGCCTCTGCTCTTATGAAGAGCCATTCTTTTCTTGCGGCTCTGAAGGATACTGGCCACTACAGAAATAGCCAGCTCAAGAAAAGATTAGAAAATATGCATTTCACAATTAGCCCTTTTAGACATGACCTACGGCTTGAGGCGTTCGGCAGCATCCGAGAGGTGTCCGCCGCAGAGAGTAATGACAAAAAGCGACCATGGCTCCCTCTTGCCGCCAGGTTGCCTATGGTTGGTCTTACTTTTGTTCTTCCTCTGCTGACTATCGGTCTTCTCGAGATTCTTCAACGTCTCTCAGACGAACGTCATGGGTTGCTGGATCTCGATAGCAGTAGCTCAGCTTCTCTGTCCTACGCCGTCCGACTAGCGTCTACCCTGTTTGCGTTTCTCATTGCTACCTTGTTCAATAACTTGGATTTCTCAATAGCAGGTTTTACACCGTTCAGTTCACTTCGGTCAGGGAGCGTTCCAGCCCAGAGAAGTATACAGTTCCATCTACTAGGCGTGTCGCCTTTTCTCGTCCTAGTCGACACTTTCCGCCTTCGGCACTTCGGATCAGCAGCAAGCAATCTTTCCACACTCTTAGGCAGTTTCTTGACTATA